ATGGGCCTAAAGCCCAACAACTTCCTAACTAAATAGCTTAAAATAAGAATAAAAAACAACTAGGCCCAACTCAACACTAAGCATTACATGAGAAACACACAAAATTCATTCCAAGACTTAACTTTGACACAACAAACTTCATGAAAGGACTTAACTACAAGAACCCCAAAATACCTACTTTAACCCTGCCTAAAAAAGATTAAAACACCCTTGATTAAAATTCTTATTTTACCCTTTCTAGACAGTCCAAATTACTAACCTTAGAACTAAAACCTTCAACAAACAATGACTGAGAAATCAACCAAACATTCCCCTTCTTACAACAATGTTTATTCCCCATGGGAGTATCATGTGAACTGCATTTCATCAGGGAATGTGCTCCATTTTATGTATTCTACCTGCTTCATATAGATGATTATCTAAATATCTAACCAGCATAAATTACTTTGTGTACATGGAGGTTGTCCCTTATTAACACATATACTCTATAAAGCATTATTTCTTTCTTGCATCCACCACCCTCTGGATCAAATAAGTTTATATAGGGATGCAAGCGGATCGGATTTGAATCAGGGTATACCCGAATCCGATCCGACACTATTAATTGCAGATCCAACCCAATTCGGATATCATAAACATGGATTTGAATTCGAATTTGATGAGGTAGTTGGATCTTCGGATCTGACCTGATCCGATTTGATATTTTTAAATAAATAAATAAATTATTAAAAGAAAAATAAAATATAACAATTTAAATAAAGAAAAACAAAATATACAAGTATCTTTTCAACTATTTTGATAATATATATAAATATTTTTTATAAAAAAATAAATAATATAACAAATTTACAAAATGCAATATAAATAATATATTTATAAATAAATAAATAACATATATATCGGATCGGATTTTCTTGGAGGGGTGATCCGAATTCGATCCAATTTCTGATTGGGTCCTATTATCCAATCTGAAGATCCGAAATGGGGCTATCTGAATCTGAGAATATAGGATTGGACTTCTAATCGAATCGGATCATGATCTGATCCATTTGCACCCCTAAGTTTATATGTATTGCATTGTAAAAGAAGGGGGAAAAGGGGTGCTATGCAATAGGCACAATCTTTATTTTTACACAATTCTTTTATTCATAAATTAATAAATATTTGATTTATTGCTGATCAAAACAAAGGAAAATATGAAACTACTAACCATTTAACCATCAGATATCTTATACAAAATGGCCCATTACCATGTTGCTTGAAAAAATCATGTGACACTAACACCAAGGTGATTGATAAAAAAATCCAGGCATTCCTTTTTGAAACATGCTTGGACTACTATAATCGAATCCATTTAAAATTCCTTGGTTGCTTAGGCACTAACCTTGACAGAACTTGTCAAGATCCAAACATTTCTCTATGTATTTAAGCTTTTCAGCTAAGTTACTCAAAGAGATCACTTAAAAACTATCTTACTTCATAGAAGAAGAACAGAATAAGTATCAAGCTTTGGTTATTTCTCCACAACCTATCAAGAAAAAATCCATCACCTAGTTCCAAGGTTCAAAATATTGATACACCCGATACGCCTCTACTGGCATATCAGAGTGTATCAATAGTTATTTCTTTATTTTTTTAGTTTTTTTTTTCAAATCTGGTCCAGAGGGGTCAGTTTAAGATCCATCCACCCCCTGAACCGGTCGAGACCCCGAAACACCCCCTGCAGGGGCATATCGGGAAGCCCCCAATACATATGGATATTTGAATTGAACCTTGCCCAGTTCTACGATTTTCCTTTTTTATTTTTTGCAAAACGATGTGTACATAAGAAGATGTATAAAGCAATGAGAAAGCAAGGCATCCTTCCTAATACAAAACTATGAAGTAAGAGACTATGACTAACACCAAGGTTCAAAGTATCAATACTCTCAATATGGAGAAAATGCATATCGAGAGTTTCGTTCTAATCGATACTCTTCATTTTTTAAGATAAGATATGCCGCATCACATATTAACGTGTAGTGAAGTTGGAATTACTCAATTCTTCATATTTAGAATATCAGTGGATTCAAAAAAACTGATGTGCATCATACGATACACACTGTTACATATTGATACTTTGAACCTTGACTAGCACACTATACAAAAGCCTTTTGGACCCTGATGCCCATCAGTTTTTGAATTGAGACTTCTTGGAATCCACCTTTGTTAAGCAAATAATTGAGTAATTATGTGTCTAATTTAATTAAAGGGGTGACGGGTGACCAGGTGGGTCATTTATTGGTGCAATGGTAAAACATAAGGTTGACAAGCATGAGAACATAGGTTTGAGTCTGAGAGAGCCATGCATGAAAAATGCTAGCAGTTAGGTCTGTATCCAGTCCACTCCTCCCAAAAAACCTGGACAGCAAAGACCAAAATTGGGCAATGGATTTTTGTCTCTATTTTCATTTAGGAAATGACTAGTACCCCTGGCACAAGCGCACAACACCTAGAGTCTAGCTCCACTTGATAGTGTTAATGGAATCCCCTCAAATCAAGAGCAGATAATTGTGATTAGGGTTGTACACGGGTCGGTTCAGTTTGGTTTCACTTGCGCCAACTGAACCAACACTATCAGGTTGATTATTGGGCCAACCGAAACCAACCGACAATGACATAAAACTAGGGATGGCAATTTTCCCCATCCCCGACAAGGACCTGACTTCCCCAACCTGATGGGGTCAGGGATAGGGATTGTTTTGGCGGGGCGGGGCGGGGCGGGGAGGGGAATTAATAGGAATCCCCGATCGGAGTCGAGGTTAGGGATTAAATTTTTTATTTATTTTAAGTAAATTTATTTATTTTTTAAATATTGTTATCTAAAAAATTTTGGGGATTCGGGTCCCCGTAGGAAACCCATCCTCGTCGGGGATCGAGGATGGAGGACAAATTTTATCCCTGACGGGATCGGGGACGGGGATGGGGGTTAATTTAAGAATCGGGGTCGGGGGCGGAGAATATGATCCCCGCCCCGTTGCCATTCCTACATAAAACTAATTTTATTTACTTATTTACTTTTTTCCATTTCAGTCGGTTTCATCAGTTAACCAAGCAAAAGACAGGTTGGACCTCCACTCCAATTATTCTTAAAATAGTTGATTGAGACTTGAGGTAGAGGATCAGTTGTACAGTCAGTCACTACACAGTTTTAGCTCTAGGGGCTTTATGTGAGAGAGATGTTAGACAACTTAGAGAGAGAGAGAAAGAGAACAGGACTAACAGGCTAGCAGCTGATATTAGTTAAAATAAAAAAAAAAATGTATAAAGAGAATAGGAAAAGTCTGGCTTCTGTGACAGTACCATAAGTTGCCATGTATCCCATATTCTCACTAATATATATAGTCTCAGTTCAAGTCTGTTTCAGTTTGGTTTTTAGGGACATAACCCATAAATGAACCGAGTTATCAGGTTTTAATATTTATCAAACTGGAACCAACCAACTTTTTAGAACAGCCCTAATTGTGATATTGCGTAGCCATATGCAACCGAGTAAGAAAGGTCATTACCTCAGTTTTGGTGGAGTTTGCATCCCCAATTGGCCCACCAAAAAACATTAAATAGATCCCTCCACACCGAGAAACACCCTCATTCTATATTTCACTGTCAACCCAAGATCAAATTATTTTGCATGTTTCAGTCCTTTAAGACACTTATGCCCACTCAATAGAATATAAATTGATAATTTTGCTTTCTTTTTTTTATTTTTTTGCTCAAAATCCAATTCTGGATATTTGTTATGAAATATTGCTTTCTTTTGACCACCAAAGCTCCAAATCTCCAATCCACATAAGCATAGATGATAGACCATGTATCATCTCTCCCTCACTTCTACAACTGACCTCTTAAACATCAAGTATTAACATGCATAGGAAACAAAAAGAAAAAAAAAGAAAAACTTTCACAACTACTGAATGCTTCTGTTGATGTTTCTTTTTCTCCCATGGTTATAATGGGTGCCAATCAAATCTATATATAAATGTCTATTAAAAATAAATATAAGTACCATCCACAACCAATTACTTGCCACCCAAGATTAGCCAAACTGATGACACCTAGGAAGGAACAGTAGGCTCATAGCATTATAAATAGTAGAACCAGGAAGATATTTAAACATATTCAATAAAAGAATAGATGAATACAAAATATAAGAATGTTCCAACTCTGAATTACAGAAAATACAGGAAGGCAAGAAAGCAATCATCAGACAGAAAAGAAGATTATTATATTGATAATTGATCAAAAAAAAGAAAAGAATATTATTATTTTTTTCATATATAGTTCTAAACTAAATAATTAGAAAGAAACCAAAAAACCAAAGAAGAAACAAATGCAAAACAYAGATTACGACAAGTCAACAACACCAAGGCCATATTTCTCATCATCTGATTGGAGTATATGATCAAATAGGATACTTTGTTTTCCTCTTGAAAGAAATCAAATAGACTATCCTGAATTGTTTTTTTTTTTTGGTGTTCATGCTAGGGTGTTCCCCTGAAACAACATGCTACACCGTAACCTAAATGTGTGGTAAGGGTTGCTAGGGCACTCCCTGGAAGCAATGTATCACAGCTACTGGAATGGCAAAACAGGATTCATGTAGCCAACCCCATATAGTTGGGTGTTGGGATAAGGATTAGATGATGATGATGATGATCATCATCATATAGTTGGGAACTTGGGACAAAGCCCCAATTTACATTATGTGCTGTGGGGCTTGGAAGTTTTTTGCCTTTAGATTATAATATTTTTAAAAGCAACTCTTACCAAACACTTGAAACACTTTTTGGCTCAATTTTGTTTTCCACAGCCCAATGCTCAACAAAAAAAAAAAGTTTATCCAAACAGAGCCTTAAGTTTCCCCATTCATGGTTTTACTTTGCAAAAAAGAAGCATGTCCTTGAAACTGGAATGAAGGAAACTAGAAAGAACATGATGGGGAAACCTGAAAAATTTAGTACCTGAAAGTGTGAACTGCTCAAGCATCGAGAGATCTGGCGGAACAAAGGCACCATACAGCGTTGAAATTCTGGAGGCTGAGTTGCTTCCAAAACTTCCTCCAGCTCACCCAAAAACATTACCTCTTTCGAACTATTTGTAATAGGCCAATACTTTAATAAACCCCTTATAACAGTATCAGCAAGCTTGCAGTCTTTCTCTACAAATTGTGCAATGCAGTATGATAGCTGCTGATGGTACATGGGTATGCATTTTGGCTTGTGAAGGGGAATCAGTGCACGAACGAGGAATAGTTTGTGTTCTTCTTTCAGTGGAACAGCAAATCCATTGATTATACTGCCTAAAATCTCAAGAAGTTCAGCAATCCCATTATGCTTCTCAGTTTCAAAAATGAAACGGTAGAAGATGTTATTTATCGCCTTCCTGATGAATGGACGATGTACCATAAATTTTCCATAAATGCGGTGTAGGATAGTCTTCAAGTACTCTCTTTCTCTGGGATCTTCAGAGTCAAAGAGATCCAACAATCTGAGAACAAAAGAATGGTCAATGTATCTCTTAGCCAACTTTGCATCAGTCTCAGGTGATGCAACAAACCTTAGGAGGAACTCATATATAAATTGCAAGTGAGGCCATGCAGGATCCATTGAAGGTTCTTCCTCTTCCAAATCAAAGGCTTCTAAAACCTTGTTTTCACGGGGTGGAGAAGTAAGTGACCTAAACAAATTCACAGATACCATTTTTGTCATTTCTTGCATGACAATTTCCGTGAATTTTCCATTTGCTGAAGTAACATAATCCACAAGCTCTAGCAATGTCTGTCGCTTTATGTCCTTTTCTTTCAAGTTCTTTGTCGGGTCAGTGAAGTCAAATATGACACAACATAAGTTCAGCTTTCTAATAAATAAGTTCTGCTTCTCGGAGCTGGGGACTTCCCTAAAACCAGGTAATGCATCATAAGAAGAGGTAGCTGAATTCCCATTTAACTTTGAATTCAGAACTTGAGGTAACTTATTTCCATGATTTAATCCTGAACATGGAGCAGAATTAGGGGGTGGAAGAGATGTACTATTTGGGTTCCCAGCACGATTGCTAACTAGTTCACTGCTTCTTGAATTTGTAGAAGCATTTGAAGGAGTGGGAGCAGTTCCGCCTGACTCGCGATTTTCAGCTGACTTAGATGGCTTGCGAGGCAGCCTACCAAGTATCTGCTTGATCATGATTAGGATAAAGAAACAGATGTACCACCTCTTGAGCCCCAAAACCCGCCTTTTATGCTCCAAAGCTCTTTCAAAGCAGAATACAGTCCATCAGCACAGAGAAATTAATCCTTTTCCATCTAAGAAGGAAAAAATTCACATTCAAAAACCCATTGACTGAGGTTTTTAGTCCACGCTAGCTTCCTAGAAGCATCTTTGCTCTTTATCTGAAACCCGGCTTGTTGTTCAGTTTTTCCAAATCAAGGACGAGTTTCCCATTCTCATCAAGAAGGAAAATTCAAACCAAATTCTAAAGACAATCCCATAAACGGAAACCCATTTTAAGCCAGAGATCAAACAAAATCTTTAGTTTCAACCAATCAACCGAAAAGGAATTTACCTTCCAAAAAGAAAATAGATTTCCCAAAAAGATCACACCTTTTTCTTAAATCGGAAAGCAGATGCATAAAATTCTTCAAACCCAAAGATCAGCGACAACTTTCTAGATTGAATCCACACCCCCAGAAGCTGTCCTCTTCTTAGTTCTTCCGCTAAAAGAAAAGGGCCAAGAATATTCTCCTCTTCCTTTTCCCAAATTAACAGCAATTCAGCTGGATCAAAAGAAGACAAGATCTGGGTATGATCTAGAAAACCAAGATAACATTTTTCATCAAAAGCAACCAAGTAGGTTTAAGAAAAAAGAATAATCAAGAAAAAAGTGACAATAAAACTAAGCTGGTCAGACGCGCATACCCGACAGACAAACACACGGATTTCAAACAAAAAGCTAAAAGGAAAAGAAAAAACATATAAACCCGGATGAAACAAAGAGAGATGAGAGAGTGATTGATACTTACAGAGAGACAGAGCTCGGTGGGTACTGATGAGGAATATGAACGACAAAGATGGAGAAATTCTGGGTATATTGAGTCAGTGGTCGGAAACCAAAAAAACCCACCAACTAAAAAGGTTAGACAGACAGTAATCCCTTTGTTATTTGCTGTAGTTGTTTTTGTTCGTTATCATCTTCCCGAACTTCTTTCTCTAACACCGGTCTCTGTTTTTCTTCTTTCGGTCTTCAGGCTCACTGATGATTAAAAAAACAAACTGACCGAAACTGCCCTCCGAATCCTCACAAAACCCCGTGTTTATGGCCTTCGATGGCAAAACGTTGAAAAAATAATTGATTAATAAAAGAAAATACTTATCTTTCTTTCCACAACTAGTATTTTACTTTTTGCTTTCCACATGTTTTCTTTTCCCACTTTTTCATCCCTTTATTTATTTGTGTACTTTGTCTCTCTTTCCTTCTTTGGTTTCCTCCTTTCATAAACATGAAAATTAACAAGCACCGTCAAAAAATAAATAAAATAACGATAACAATAAAAAATTTTCAGTTAATAGTACCATTGATTTTGATATTATTGTGGATGCTTGTCTGAGTAATGATCCTCTGCTCAGGCTGTATACTCACAATTGGTGTACTTTGTAATGTCTGCTTCTGGGTAGTGGGTAATCAGCGAGAGCCATGATCAAATAGAGAATGGACTTCTATTTGATGGTTTAGTTTTTCAAAGGTGTGGCCCTGTCTAACACTGAAACAGTGGTTCAGGAGAACTCAATAGTCAATGCCTGGGTTGATAAATGGTAGAGATGAGCCCATGAAAAGATTAGTCATTTGCATAATAATTCAAGCAAATTCATGGTTACTGGATAGATTTCTACTGGGAGAGTTATACTAAGATAAGTAGATTTATCTACTTGAAGTAGTGATACAAAAAGGTCTTTAGTTTGACGGTTTGTCAGTGGGAATTCTCCCTCTCTCTCTCTCTCTCTCTCTCTAGTCCTTCCACTATTCCAGCTTGCAGTTGCAGGTGTGTTTGTTAACTTCTTCCGGAGGCGGCCTAAATGGGGATCGTGTCCATGCGAAAATGATGCGACATGGCCACAGCAGATATGAGCTCGTTTGTATAGTTAATAGATGCTCCGTACCTGCAGGCTGAGTGGCTGACTTGATCCTCCCATCCTCGCCATGTCGCCAGATTTGACTGAATTTGAATACCATCCATCATTCAACCAGTCTAACGAACCAAAGAGACCGAGCTTCGGCAGTTCAGCCCAGTCTCCAGGTTGCCTGGTCTGACCTGTCGACCTGGCTGCCGTGCTGGGCGCTAAGCGTTGCATGATCTACGACTGCAAGTTGGTATCAGATCCACCAGGGCCTAACAAGCTGTAGGGCTGTACGCCATTGGAATTTGCAAAGTATCCACAACCCCACGAGCGATAAAGAATCCTCCTAGCAGTGAAAACTGATGAAAAAGCATTCTGTTCCATTCTTTTTCTATTCTATTCTATCTTGTATGTACAGACTTTCTTCTTTACGCTGAGAAGTGTCAAACGCCATTCATTCAAAGAGGACCCATTGGAGTTGTATCTGTACAAAATCCGTGTCAGAGATGTGCCACTAACAGACAGCTTCATGTACCAAATTTTACCACGTGGAAAGACCACTGGCATGAATTTTTTTTTGGCGCTATACAACATGGATAAAGCAGTATTTGCAAATGTTGGCGAGATTCTAGAGTCGAATACATAGGGGCAATTTGATAACTGTGCCAAAGGTAATTCCTAAATTGGAAAATTGATTAATCTGAGGGGTATTTTTGGTATACAATAAAGCTTTAAAGGGTGTAAAATAATCACCCCTAGGTCTTGAGTTGATCAAACGTTAAGTTTTACATTTTTTTAAATCTAGAATCTTTTCAGCATTTGGCAGCAGTTACCAAATGCCACCTTAGTCCAAATCCCAATTGGTTATTTCACCATTTGACCTTCATGGAGACTATTAAAGTTCTTGAGAAGCTAAGTACGATTTGCAATTGAATCAGTAGATAATACATAATCAGATTGAATATCACTATATTATCCCAATATTTATTTTCTTTGTGGTCCAAAAAGGGTAGATGTCCTGATCCTCACCAAATGGTTCGCACTTTGGAGCTCAAAAGGAGTCCTTTGATTCCTCTCCCCATCCGAATGGAAATATTTTCAGCCCAAAAAACCTTGCCCTAAGCTCTAGATAAATTCTTCTTACCCCAAAAAAAAAAAAAAAAAACTAATTATCATAAGCAATTTAAAGGAATTTTAGAGAATATATTCTTAGTCTAAAGTTAGAATAGCTTTGATGTCGTATTTAAATGTTTAATCAAATCGATTTCAATTGCAATTTTTTACTTTTCAACGATTTATCAGATATCTAATTCAGTCAAATATCCCAAATTTGTCACGAATCAGAATATACCCGTTTGAATTTGATTCGATCCATTCGCAGCCCTACTAAGGTGTTGCCAATTTCTAATATATCATCCGATCCATAAACAAACACGTATACAAACCTCCTGAACATCCACGTGGCAAGTTATTAGCGTTTAAGATGGCAACTAACTTCCGCCATCATATTTAATCGTATTCTAGATTCTGACTAGTTCTGCGGAGCCGCGCGTCGAGGCGATAAATATGGACTTTCAGTTCAATATTTTGATTGGTGCCTGATACTAATATACCTTATTAGCAATGTTCAAGTCAATACTAATCCACTCGGTTCATTGCATAGATCACTCTTTACAGTGACGCTTTGTTTCATTTAATTAACATTTGATTTTTACAAATGGAACTAATTTTACTCGGTTTACTAATGCATCATCACAAATTGAGTGATTGAGACTTGAGACTAATTGGCAAGGTTTAAAGTATTGATACGTATTGTTCCGGTACTCCACTGATATGCCCTTACACTGGGTGTATCGGTGGTCTGACCGGTTTAGGGTGTGGCAAAGATCTAAACTGACTCCCCTGAACCAGTTGGCAAAAAAAAAAATTAAAAAAAAACCACCAAAAGGACTATTGATTCGCCCAATACGCTGGTATGGGCATATCGACATTTTGAACCTTGCTATTTGGTTTTACAAATGTTGAGAGTACTATCAAGTCGACATGAAAATACTCAATCTGATCAACTGTCTTCTTAAGGTGGAGAGTGGAGACTTGGAATTACTTTCTGGCTTCCAAAGAGTAGGAGTTAGGACATAAAATTGGAAAAGAGGGGAAAAGGAGAGAACATGAAAGAAAAATACATGATACAATCAAATACAAAAAATGGGTCATATAAAAAACAAAGAGGAGACAAGTATCATCGCTGCATTACCAACAGAAACCTATCACCGTTATTGCAGCTCGTAGTCAGTCAGATTGCTGGGAGACAGTTCCCAAGACCACCATAGAAACTATATTCAAGTTGAGCCTCAGCGTTCCATTAAAGCGGTATCAGTTCCCAAGACAGCATGAACTCTAAATAGCATTTAGGCCCCGTTCGCTTTTTGAAAAATTACTTATTCGGGTAAATGCACTTATCTGAATAAGTGTTTCCTGAAAGACATTTACCCATGTTCTTTTATTTTTCAGGTAAATAAGGCAATGACCATTTTAGCCACAAGAATCCATTATTAAAAGGGGCATTTTTGTCCCATTCAAGTGTGAAAATTTCCCCCCAGATGGGAAAGTTATTTATCCACTTAGGAGGGATACCCAGGAAAATAAAATTTCCCTGATCCCCACATAAATCTGAAAAAAGAATATGGGTTTCTTGGCCAATGGGAACAAAATCCCATTGACCAACTTACCCCCCTCTCAAAATCCACAAAAAAAAATGCCCCCTTAGAAATATCCAAAGATACAAAGAAATATGAAATATGATCCTAACACAACTAGCATACATCCATCTGGCTGTTCACAGGAACTTCTAGAAAGACAATAGCCCATCCCCTATACCCATGGCCCTACCAACCCTGGTCGCAGCGGGATTTGATCCCAAGCTTCTGCTACAACGAACCAGAGACCCTACCAACTGAGCCACCATCAGTTGGTGAGATGCTCCCTTTAGAGGTATGTACCATGCCTAATAGAAGTACCCCCAAGCATTATATGGTTCGCTCACAGGTATATGTACCAAAGAAGATGCATAATAAGCACTAATATGAAAGAAATAAAAAGGAATTGCTTATTTGGATTTTTCTAGCTCAAGTAAACATACCAAGCAAATCCTCATAAGAATCTTCTAAGAGAGATGCCTCCACTAGCAATGGAGGAGAGAAGACCTGATCCGGAGTGTCCATGACATAAAATGTATTTTGGTCACCAGAAGCTGCATAATTTGAACCGGTAGCCGAAAGAAACTCATTTACTTCATCATCATACTCTAGTAAATTAGTATTTATGTTTGGTATTTCATCATGGCTACTCCTAATAGGGCCAACAGACGCACAATTCCTGAATAAACAGGCGCCTGGTGGAGAAACAAACAGCTGTTTACTCCTAAGTGAAACTGATTCTGTTTCTGGGCCAACACGAGAAAAACCATTTGTTGAAAGAGGTACAAAGAAGTGTTCCAAGCTATCATCAGCATCATGCTCTTGTGAGGAGTCCACACGGCATGATGGAACAGAAGGCTCTGAAAATGCAGCTTCCCGAACAGATCTCCTCAAGTTCTGGACATAAGAACTGTCACTGTCTACACTGTCTGTGAAAAAGAAAAAAAAAAAAGATTACTAGTTATTTAACTGTAAACACTGCTCCAACTTTATCATAACAGAAAAATGACAAATGGACCTTGGGCTAGACACTAAGCTTACAGTTAATGAAAATAGATATGAAATGAGGAACAAGGAGAAAGCACTGCAAACCTTGTGCTGGATTATCTACATGATTATTCAAGAGAGCCTGGTCCAAAGACTTCCCTTCAGTTAAATTATCTACTTGACTAGCTTGAGGAGCCAAAGAATGTCGTTTTTGTACATTTCCAGTTTTCCCAGTGGAATATGGGGTTAAACTAAATAACTGTGGAAGTTTCAAAGCAGGAGGGTTGGCTGAAACTTTTCAAGCTGGACGTTAGACAGTTTTGAAGTCAAATCAGCGACCTCATCAATGCTGCTTTCCTGCTTAGTTCAATGGGTTTCTGTTAGTTACGCGGTTCAAACTTTTAGGAATGAAAAACTGCAGTATCAAAGCAAACATTTTCTTTTCAATATATCATTCACAGGAGCAATTACCACTGTCCTTCCAGTACTTTGAGCATGGATGGGTGAATTAGATCTTCCATGACATCTAGTCATGGAAGGTAAAGTGGATGAAA